GCTCGAACCCGCGCCCTCGGATTATAAGACAGGCTACGGGCCGGTGCACACTTTCGGCACGTGACTCGCTCCGTCAACGTGCAAAGTGGTATAAAGACACTGGGCCAACCGAACATTAGTTTCGAAATCATCAATCAAACGCTAGAAGTAGTCAATTGATTTGATTGTGTAAGTTGCTACACTATCCTTGGTCGTATCACGGAGGGGGCAAATGCAGTTCAGTTCAGTTGTACAACTATGATCCGGGCACCGAAGTGCGATGCATCTACTTGCAACGACCCACGTCACTAGAATAACAATACCTAACAACAGCAAGAGGACGAGGTTGAATGCAAACAGAATGTAAATAAAGTGAAATCAAGAGGGACGTGCGGTAAACTAGATAGGATGGAATGAAAATTAACAGCTAGATGCAAGAAGCCAAATGCAGGAACGCCACTGACTGATAGGGTTTCAAAACAGTGATATGGAACATGCTGAAGTCCCATCCACGAAGACGGCACTGTTACGTGCTTCGGTTCCCCAGCCGCGTCAAAAGAAAGGGGACACACACGGGATCAGCACACAAGGACCCGATTCTCAATTATGAGGTTCTGTACACAGCTGTGCTTCTAAGACTCACTCGCTCACCCGATCGAACGCACTGACTTGGTCGCGATAGCGTGAGCTGTCTGCCTGGCGATTGCGAGCGCGAGTGTGAAACGGGCCTTACTCGCTCGCCACCACAGGCAAGCAGCATGCTTCTATGCCACGTCATCGACTGGCCACCTCACGGTTTCGCCCGACTTGGTGCAGACACGGCGTATGCTGAGGAATTCGGTCAACGGGCATACAGAGGAGACATGACCAATCCCTCGTAAGAGATTAAGTTTTAGCAAAACCTCCAGTGAGGCACTAGATGATTTCTTGCAAAAAGCCAACAGGAGGACATCAGTATTGTTAACCCGGTGTTCCCACCAGAGGTGAACAAAGACGACCAATAGTTTAAAGTCTTCACTGCGAACTTGCCAGATCTCTGATCCATACAGTAACACCGATCTTATCGCAGCGGTATACATCTTACCTTTCACTGACAAGCTGATATTCGACCGTATCCAGATGGTTGAGCCGATGAAAAGTTACACGGGTTTCGCTAATACCTGAAGTTACTTCCGCAGTGATGTGGCCACTAGAGGTAACAACTCCCAAGGTAAGTGAACCGAGTCACTACTTCTGGTGACTGTTCGCTGATAGCTGGAGCCATTGGCGGATCGATCAAGTCCTACAACGACACCTTGCATTTTGAAGGTGCAAAGCGCAAACCTAAGTATGTAGCACTACGCGCCGACATATTCAGTAGTGGTTGCAAAGCTAGTCGGTTCGACCCTAAGAGAAATACGCTGTCCACATTCTCAAGATCTGTCAGCCGGTCACCTGGTAGAACTTGTACTTTGGAAGAGGCTGAGAGGACAGAATTATGTGCGATCACTTCGATCACAATGATGAAGAGGAAAAGAAATGTAGGACAATATTTTCGAACCTTACTTGCCAGCCCGTAGCCTAAGGGTAGCGAGCGTGTCTTGCAACCTGACGGCGCGGGTTCGAGCCCGTGTAGGGGAAGGGCGACTCTCACAGTATCCTTAGCCCACGTACGACCGATGGTGGTTGCGTGGCAGCAAAGAGTCGGTACTGTGAACCGGCGTACTTCTGATGCCTTTCGTTCTTTTCTTCTGTCATGGGGAATTCAGGGGATGGCTCCTCGTAGACTATTATCCAAGCTGTGGTGTGGGGAGTATAGAAAACTCAAAGTGGAAAGGAGTTTCCATGGGATGCCCTTCATGGGTATGAAGTGTCATAAGCTGGCACGATCAATAGAGTCAAAAGCGGCTTTCAGGTCAAAGAAAACCAAGATAACCGGTCGTTTATGCGTCTCTGCATTAGCACTTGACGAAGAGTAAACAGGTGGTCGATGCAACCACAATGAGGACGGATGTTCGCTGGGTTCTCAATGATCTGGCTCTCACGAGAAGTTTGGATACAACGGAAAAAGGCTACACCCCGATGATTTTCGCACAAACTAAGTTGACAAAATTGAAGATCAGCATAACGGTTCACAGTCGCCAATCTGAAGACAATTTTCAGTGTCCAAAATCGTGTTAAATAGAGCAACAAGCCCAGTCAAGAAAGTCACCCCCACCCTTCAGCAAAAATGCAGGAAGGTCATTGGGCCTACGAGCCTAGTTTCGTTTCAATACGGTAAACTAATGTCGGATCTCATCAAAGTGAGAGGTGTGACATCAACTTACCACGTCGACTCAGGTGATTCATCAAACGACAATGTCACAGTAAACTATTCAAAACGGTCCACCCAACAGGCTAATCGACGAGGCAGAGAATGGACCAACCGTCCATTTTGGTCAGGCATAGTTTCACTTTCTTGGACCCGTGAACCGGATGAGCTGGAACAGTACTCAGCTCGTCCGAATAGTAGTGACCATCTGAATGACATTTGCCACTGAACAATGTCTAAGACACAGTGTCAGTAATCGTTTCAGTGCTACGGATACGCTAAAACTGAGTATCCTACGGAAATTTTCCGTGCCTCGAGCAAAATGATCGATGCATCATAGATCCATACGTAGTTCGGACGTCGCAGTTCGGCAGTGCATTCGGCGTAAGAAGCAATCCTTGTGGCATATTAGACATGATTCCAGTTAGTGTGCGGCACACCCATCTCATTCGTCGTCAATTCGCTATGCAATGTCTGAATCGCTGACTGCGAATTCAAGTTGCACGTGGGGAGATTGGAAATAGGGCACACCTTGATAGTGGGAAGAATGAGCACCAGTGTGTACACACCACAAAATGATCGGAATCCAGACACATTTTCAAAACTGATCGACTGTCTTGAACTGATGCGCGCCATCGTTAGCAGATGGCAATATGATCAATCCGGGTCAAGGCAAACGAGGAATTCGTCGGGCGCCAGGTGACACGATGTGAACATTTGTGCTAGAAAGCAGTGCTGCTAAAGTAAAGTTTGTGGTCGGCACACAGTTGCAGGAATCGGTCATTATTGCCTGTTGGACGTACATCGACCGCGAAGCGACCTCCCAAGTGTTATTCAGTCTGAAAAGTGACCCACCTGAGCACTTATGCTACCAGCAACAATCACAATGTCCGTATTAATCGCCAAAGGTAGAAATGAAATCAGGAGATAGGAATTGTCTCTGATACCACTCGAACTGTTGTCGGTGTGTGTGTGTGCAAACGGAAGCGATGAAAATGCACCTAATTTTTGGACGGTACTTTTTAGACGCAAACAGTTAGATCTGCACATATGTGGCTGTTCGCTGGTATCCAGCCTTGTTTGCTGAGTGCGATACCGACAGCGGAAATGCTTTGAATCACTGACTTAGCATCACCGGAAACGCGAAGAATGTCGCCATTATCGGCAGATTCAGGACCAGAGAGTCCAAGATTCGTCACAACGCTGTTATCCTGTATGTGTGTTTCAGAGACACAGCACACATCAATTTCGAAAGAGGGAAGAGTAGGAGTTATTGCTGTTTATTGGCCAATCTGAGCGGGAGTGCAGAAGTTAAAAGAACCAATGTGAAATTAGACAATAGATTTGATGGAATAGCTATCGATAGCAGTAGATGCGAGAGAAAAGCAAGACGGGGAAGTATTGTCGACGAGAATATCCATTCCGAGAGGAGGGTTTCGTTCGAGGTGCTTTACCTCTAGCCATTAACTCATCAGTCTGATTCCTAAGGCAATTGGGTACATGGAGATTCGTCTGATGGACTCCACTTGGAGCTTTCAGCTCAAGAGCCTAATCCACAAGCTAGTGGGGAGTAAGTCCAATTCAGAAGCGCGATTGCAGTGACCCTTTGAGATTTGCATGAGGCGTGTCATACACAACCTTTGAGGATTTAGAACAACACACTTATGTTTACGGCCGTATTATATCACGCACCAGCGACCAAGGTCAGTAGCAGGTGGGAGTTGGAGGGTTTGCACCAATCTGACCATGGGCTGCCTGGCTTGAGGAGGGCGATGGCAAACCACTGAGCACCGGGCGGTGCACTCCCACAGTGGCGTTTCGGCTCTACACTAATTGAGTTGTGGGCTTATTGCTCATCACATGTTGCTTCACATGGCTAAGTTTTAAGGAAGAGAGCCACCGAGTTCCTACAACCTCTGAAGTGGATGCTGAGGCCATTGACTTGTCTAGTATGAGTGGTCCTGAAAGCACTTGGGAAGTTTCACCCAGTGTAGTTCAATGGGCTACGCTGTGCGAACCATCGCACCAGGTTAAGGTCCAGTCTGGTCGCGATGGTAAGTGCTCGTATCGAATGAAGGAGCAAATGCCGAAGTGGGTTAAATGAGCGAGAGAACGTAGTAAACAGCTCCAAGTCAAGCTACACTGGGATGCACAGCATCCATTCACGGCGTCACGGATTCGCTGAGGCAGTCGCAATAAACCGGTGATTTGTATCCATAAGCAATTGTCGGTAAACTCCAGAGTGCCCTGGATGTAGTGGGGCACGACTTCCGTTGTATTTTTATCGTTTGTTTTCATGTTTGTTTGCATCACGTAACCGTTGTATGTAATTCCAGGTTACTATTTTCGGCACTGACGAGACGGTACGAAATGTATGCAGATGCCGGTATTGGTCTTCTCACAGTAATTTTCAAGCAAGAAAGGTGAGGCTCACTGTTCCACTTCAGTATAACTGCTTCTGATCCGACCTCCTCAATGCTGAGCTATACGAGAAGGTAACATGCGTCAATCGATGACAGAGAGGATACAGATATCGAAGGAAAGTGACGAGACGGAGAGTACTAAGGAAAGACAACTGGGTGAAGTAGTGGATAATAGATCGCGCTGCGAATCTTAAACATGGTCAGGGATAGTGGTGCATAAATGACAGATGCCAACACAGAATAAGCAAAGCACAAAAGTGAAGTGACGAAAATTGATGGTATCATTGATCAGATTTGGGAGGAGTTACCGGTGAGCATTGAACACTTGAGGAACCAGACAAATATCTGCCATAGAGAGCTCATCGCCAAAGCAATATTTTCCAGCGCATTGTTTCAGTTCCGACTCCAAAGCTGAAGATGAAGCAACAGCCAGAGTAAATGAAAATGCACCGAAATGCTAATGACTCTCGTCAGTCATTGGCAATATTGCGTACGTAATGCAGCGCTATTCAATGCCCAACAATTGCGTTAAAATATACCAAGCCATTATGGAGAATAAGATCCAAGCGGCGTTGGACAAAACGAGGGATACGTCATTCGTGGAGATCAAATAGAGACAAGCAGGGATGTAGGCAGAGTCCCTATTTTCTTAGGTTTAACATTAGACCAAGAGCACAAACTTTATGACGAGAGAGTCATGATAGCTCGTCAAAAAATTAGACAGAGCTTGTAAACCGACAAGGCAACTTCTTAAACGGGAGATAGATATCAGTGAGTACTACGCAGTGATAGATAAAAGTCATCATATGGTGCTAAGGTTTTAAATGATCAACGAGACAGGTGCAACTGGTTGTGAGGCCAAGTCATCCTGTTAACACCGCATGGGTGTGCATATATATGCGCGTGTGCAAATATCTACAGTGGAATACCAGCGCTAGGAAAATTGGCGGACATCAAAAGTTAGTACGGTAGAGTGAAATATCGTAATAATGAGGTTGTGATATGTGCAGTAATAGTAAGAGATTTTTTGTTATTTCAAGCCCATTAATGTTCATACAGAACACTCTACGTGAAAACGGTTATCCCGATAGATTTATCTTAAGGAACCTCCAAGAAAAACCCAAACCAGTGCCAGTGTTAACAGCACTAAAGAGTTATTTATTCGCTTATCATTCAAAGGGGACGCGGCTACCGAGCGTCTCACCAGAAGCCTTTCGGCCGCGGTAAAGTCGACCTTTCCAGCAGCCTCGTTGAAGTGGGTGTTCTCAACGGAACTACTCATTCGTTCACAAAACAAAAACAAGCTGCCGATGCTGACCACATCAATGGTAATTTATCACTTCGTGTGCGCCTGTGGTGCGACGTATATTGGTCCAACGGCGCGGCAGTTATCCAAACGCGTGAACGAACATTGTCCTCGTTGGCTGCGTCAAGGGGGCACCGGGACCATTAGTAGCGCCATTCTGGCTCACATTGTGGACACCGGCCATGAGGTGTATTGGAAACGCGCTTTCCGAATAGTTTACAAGGTTCCACCGCACCGAACGAAAGGTTACCGCCTTCGTACGCTTGCGACAGCTGAAGCAATATGCATTCGATTGTTCCAGCCGTCCTTATGCTCACAGAAGAAGCTGGTCCAGGCTCTCCAGCTTCCCTGGCCAGCGAAGATGGAAGACGCCCAGGTCGACTGCCTTCGGTCAGACGCGGTAGCAAACAGCTAGCCCTCTAAGACCTAATTCGTTTTTTTCCACTCTGACAGACCTTCACGTGATCAAGTCATTTTGAACTAACTGGGTCGATTTCTCTTTCAAGCCTCTATACGATTGTAATGGTCTGATGAGGGATCATTGAAAGCAATTGCTCACCAGATGGTCTTTTGTTCTAGGGAAATGTAATATTGTACGGGCATGCAATATTTAGGGCATAATTCATAAAGATGCTATTTTCGCGTTGCGGTCGAATATGGAAGAGATGATGAGTCAACACAGCGCATGGTAAGTATGCTGCTTTCGATTCAATTTATTAACCCGGGTTAATAATGCTGACGTGGCATGTGTGGGTGTAACTCGGTGGTGCAACGCAAGCCACCCATAGTCCCTCTGTAGGTACAGGCGTCCTGTGGTTGTCTTATGGAGGCCACAGTGACATAAATCCGGAATCGGGTGTCGCCAACCATCAGGGCGCGTAAGAACGCTGCTCGCATATATATATATATATATATATATATATATATATATATATATATATATATATATATATATATATATATATATATATATATATATATGAGTAGCGATCGTACGCGCCCTGATTGCGCCTGCGTGACCCGATGGTCACGAAATAAGAAAACAGATCGGGAAAAGCACTTGGTAAGAAGTGGATTTTAATTTGAGGGTTTACATTATACACCATGTTGAAGGTGAAACGTGTGAAAAGCCCCAGTGAAGCCTGATACAGGGAATTATCATGAAGCAATGAGTCAAAGTTACCTTGGAAACCTCTATTGATCCAATGGCTAGCCCATTCCTCTCGAGAGACTTCAGGTGGTAGATAGCGCATCACTGAATGATTTTGCAGAGGTTGTATACCTGAGTTGATGAGTTCGGCCAATTTGCGAACAATGGCGCGCTTCACGGGGTCTTTTGGAAGCAGAGAACAACCTTGATCACCACGTGTCTCCTCAAGATATTCCATGATAGGCAACTAGTTGGGCAAAGGAACAAAGACAAGTTTGGCGTAAAAAGCAGAAGGGGAGCATTTGGTATAAACAGTGGAGGGAACAAAAAGAGATGAGATCTGTGGTTAGCCACCACAGGCAAGGAGTTTTGCAGCAAATTAAGTATCCGTGAGCGAGTTGAGCATGCAAGAGGCACGGGAGAAGATAAATACGGTGCGTTCAACAGTGATGAAGTGGATCATCATACATTCAAAACGGTTAAGTTATCGGAGTGACCATTTGATATGTGTGACACCAACGACAATTTGGCGACGAACCGAGCTGGATGAACGCACTGTAGTTTCAGACGAGAGCAACAACTGAAAAGCGTGTTCATAGCATTCTCACTGCATCGAACAGGACAAAACCAATATCTGACAAAAGATATCAGCAGTACGCCGGTACACAGTACCGACGCTTCGCTGCAGCGCAACCTACAACGGCCGCACGTGGACTAAGAATACTGCGAGGGTCGCCCTGCCCCTATGCTGCCTTGGACCCACGCCATCATATTACCTTTGGGCTATGGGCCGGTGATTTCTGACGAGCGCAGTGCTGTATGAGCATATAGAACAGAATGGAACCGCAAGATAGGGTACTCCGGATGCCCTTTACAAAGTCATAGTAGGATGTATGTTTGTGTATAAGATTTGCGTACATTTTCATGTCCACATAAAACTGACTGGTAGTATCAGTTTGAGTTGTAAACCAAGAATGCATTCAACAGCTAAGTTCACTAGGTTGAGGTACGTTTCTCTTATGATACACAGGCCACTAGGTATGTAATTTAACCCACGTGAGTATCTGCATTGATCAATTATATCGGTATCTTATTCCCGTGGTAGGGACTTCGAGGATGGGGCTGATGAGGTTGTGATGTACCGTTTAACCAAACTGTACTAAAATGACTGACCTGTGTTCGATATTTACCCCACTCTCTCGATGGATTATCATGCCTGACTTCGTACGATACGAGTGCTCATTGATCGGATGCTACTACCGCGATTACTGGTTGTGTGGAACCGCGAAATGTTGCTGAGAGGATCGAATGCAAAGTCTCCGCTGCAGTATTAAGGCGAATGCCTGGTTACCGCCCTGTGCACTCATGATATGCATGTAAACGCTAATAATGCAACAATCAGATGCGCAATGAGAGAAGGCAGGCTACCTACGAAACAATCGCAAATACAATCCACACGCCTGTCTGCTCTATTCTGTCAAGTGTAGGTTAAGTATGGGGGCGACTTAATAGGGGTGTAGCGAAAGCCGCCCGCGACACTTCTGTAGGTGCAGCGGTCCTATAGATGTTTACAGTCAAAGTAACAAGCGAATCTCTACACGGATGTCGCCAACCTTATTTAGTCTAAGCCAATTCATAAACGTTGACCGGAGGCATAAAAATCGATAACGCAGGCTAGCGTCGACAACGGAAAATAATGAAAAACGGAAAAGAGAAAAATGAGCTATAGATTGCAAAGGAAGTGTGGTGATATAACTAAATGACCTTCCTAACTGTAAGAAGAATGTGAATACAAGGGTGCTACTGCCTTCTCAAGTGTGTCGTGATGAGTAAGAGGCCAAAAAAGACATTTGATACCTAGTTCTGATGGCCTATTTACTATCTTGCCACACAGGCACAGAGCCAATTGGAGCATGGAAGTGCGAGTGAAACCCATCGTGGAAATACCCTGCATGGAAGCAAGTTCCCTGGGGACAGTTCCATGGATGACCGTATTACTTTACTTGAACTTTCCGTGAAATCTACATTTATTAGTGTTCCCAGTTTCTTTATCTTTCTACTTTTTCCAAACTGCTAATCAATTCAAAAACCCATTTGGGAACCATTGATCAAAAGACGAATAATTAACTATCACGTTGTACATGTTGATAAGACCACCCAATTGGTCTGTGCCTCGCACTGCTGAGGAATGAAACGTTTATTTATTTATTTATTTATTTAAACCACTAACGCGCAAGATCTTGAAGCCCTCAAGCGAACATGAAGACGAACAGATCTTTCGGTCAGCTGGTTCACCTCTTCCAGTGGTCACTGCGACTTCAGCAAATTAGACGTAGAAAACGCAAAGTAAATGCCAGATTGGGTGATAAGCAGATACAAAGAGAGCGTGACGTGGCCAGTGCAAGGGAGCAGATTGCCAACCAGTCGGTGGGCACAGTGGATATCAATCCGCGAGCAAACTTCGGTGACGGAAGAGGATAATGGGCGTCTAGGCGTCTGTAAATAACAGTATAAGACGATAAAAACAACGGATAAAATTATGACACCTAGTGATTGGGCGGAAGCCAGCTACAAAGCGTGTGGCAGGAAGCGGGACGATGGTGGGTTCTAATCGAGTGCTCAAGTGTCCGATGAGGCCAGTGAAGATGAAAAGGTTGGTGGGAATATAATATTAACAATTTTAACAATGAGAATGACAAGGATAACCTTAATATGTATACGTAGATTTTGCGTGTGTGCAAGGTACCGTTCATGTAATATAGACCATCGTACACAGTTGTTGAACGAGTAAGATGTTGATTTGGTCAAGTTTGTGTGATAACGTTGCCGATAAAATAGAGGTGTAACTAATCTACTCCAGTGACCATATATTTTCAATCCACACTAGAGCAATTCGCAGGATGATTATCCCAAAGAAAGTATGGTTATTACAAAGTCCAGCTAGAGCAAACTTCGAGGTTATGTGCAGAAAGTTAATGCGTTTACACAAGGATTTGATTATGACTGGTAAGCTATTCCACAGTACAGCGTGTCAGAAGAGAAAGTAATTGACCTGATACTTGTTATAATTAGTGAAAAACTTTGTTCCTAAGTCCCCGAGTAAAGGCATGTTGTGATTTAAAGGTAAATAGGTAGGAGTAGGTTTTATAGTGCATCAGGTAGTGCAGAGTCTTCAAGTTGTGCCTCAATGCTCGCAACTAAAAAACGCTTCATTAAAAGTGTGCTAAGTGAAAGGTGATCGCGGTTTTTTTTGTAGCTTTTCGTCATTTATCCGCAGTATTCATGGTTGCTAGGTCAAGGGTTTTGAAAGGCGACATTAGCAGGAACTGTGTGGACTATATTAGATATGTTGGCTATCTACTGTCTGGTTCGCACTAGTCTAATTCGGTATGCTAAAAAGTGAAAATTGCACGAATATCGTGTTCGGAGATAGCGAGTAGACAGCTGTAATCAGACTCTATGATTACTAAGTTTAGTAGAACTTGCAGTGACAGAGAAACCATAGAATATGATGCCTAATTTGTGTTGTAACGCTGTGCGGCCTGCTCGCTCTCGCCTGGTTGATTCAAGCCTGTTGCTAAATCTGCGCCCTCACGCGTGCTCTGATTGACGCCTTGGCAAACCCGACTGGAACGAAGACAGAAGAATACTCAGCAGACCAGAGTTATAGTAAGGCAAAGAACGCTCATATTTATATGTTACTGTCACCAGACGGATTTGGCTCTAAACCCACGTTCCACACCTACTTGTCCGCTGCATCTGTCCAATTCACCGTGTTGCTCGGGAACTCCAGTCTTCGTTCGCCTACCCGGCGCATGGCAACGCACGTGATGTCTGACGCGTGATTTCATCAGCTTCCGGTCTGGCCTTGGCAACACGCCTGGTGTCTGGTCAGATTTCGGCTGGCCCTGGTAACACGCTCGTAGAGTCCTTCCCAAGCACGATTGGTGGTAAACGCGCGAGCGTTGGCTCTCAGCTTTCTCGCCCAGCTGTCAATTTGTCAACTGAGAAGTTAACAATCACGCACCGCACCAGTTCGCAAGATAGTAGGTTCCATCTTGGCAAAGACATCAGCATCAATCAGTCGCGAACTAGCCAAAGAAAGCATGATGCAACTACTTTAGAATTAACCAAGTCCAACAACAAGCATGCGACTAGAAAAGTTGTGGAAACTGAACCTCTGCATGATCATTTATTTCCGCTTTGATGGACAAGTGTACCAGCAACTGAGAAAAACACCCATGGGATTCACAGTATCGGGGCTAATTGCAGAGGCCGTGGGGAAGAAATCGGAGCGCATTGTTCAACAGCACATTCGAGGATATCAGATTCACGATTGAATTGGAGGACGACATGAAGTTACCATTTTGGGATGTACTAGTCAACAGGAATACCGACGGATCACTGCAAACGTGTGTACAACGGAAGAAAACGCCTAAAGATCAGATATTAGACTACCACAGCAACATCCCGATAAATCACAAAGAGATACATTTAAAGCCTGTTCGAAAGAGCGGAGACGCACTGCAGTACAACCGAAATGCGAAAATAGGAAAAAACCCTACTGTATCGAGTGTTTCAAAACAACGGTTGTCCAAAAGATTTCATCAGGAGCTTGAAGAAACGAACACGTTAGCAACAGCAGCAGCCACGTGAGCAAGCAAATAAACGTCTAGTGCTCTCCTACATCAATAACCTCTCCGAACTAACAGAAAGATTGCTGCAGTCACATGGAATCTCTGTGGCTCAGAAACCAACTGCTACTTTACAGAAAATGATCACAAGGCCTAAAGAAAAAGTCGATCAAATTGATTAAAGCAATGTCATCTACCAGGTAAGATGCAGCGACCGTGACATCTACGTCGGACAAACTGGAAGTAAGCTTTATACACGACATGATGCGCTTTCACTAGTTTCCGTGCATGAATATCAAGAAGGCCACCATTTCGACCTGGAGAAGGTAAAGATCTTGGCGCATGGGAGTAAAGAGCACGTGAAGGAATTTTTGGGAGCATGGCATTCCACAGGGAATTCAATCAATAGACATTGTGCTGGACGCAGTATACGCAACGCTAATGGCAAAGGATTGCCATGTCGGTTGACTGAATGCGGTAGACAATGGCACTAGACAACCAGATCTGACGACAGACGATCACAACAGCAAATAGACAAAGACCACGAAGCATAAATTGCTGAGGTCGAGTTCAAAGGCCATCCGACCATCAAATAAGCAGAACCAATATGATT